AAGTTCTGGAGTGTACCACGGAGCCAAGTCACTTTCTCTCAGACTAACCTAACTTCCTGCCATCAGGTTAAAATGACAATTCAGGGTTCCATGGAGAAAGGGAGAGGTACAAATATAACAAGCATACCTATTTTCACCTGATCAATCAATATGTTATGTTTTGGTATTATGAAAATGAAAGTATGTGTGAGCTGGTATAGCATGACAGTTATGAACATGGTTGGTGCATTGTTGAAATCTCATCTCAGCCAGGGACTCATACACTAGATAATCATATGCAGGACATAGTTCTCAGCTCCCTGCATCTACAATATGACGACGACAGCAACAGCAACAGCAACAGCAACAACAGTAGTCTACAGGACTTTGCTACCACTGTATTCTGCACATTGCCTACTGCATTCTCGACACCAAAAGAATCTTAAATAGCAGTCAGAGTACCATCAATGGGCTTGACCTTTGGAAAGAAAGGCAAAGGTTCTTCCTATTACAAGAGCTTTTCCTCATTATTAGCCAATGGTTGAACTCAGGAGCCCTCTGGATCTTTCTGTTTGCATGAACGAGCACAAGGAGATGCTCATTCTTGTGCATCCAGAGGATGGTGCGAACTTGGAGCATTTGTTAGCTAAAGGGCAATCTTCATTAGCCATGGTATCATTAGGATTTAAATTATATCCTCTATGGCCTCCAGCCAGCAGAAAGGGATAATCCATACACACTACTGCACTATGTTAGATCAGAGTCACATTATAGTAATGCTTTGTAGAAATCCCAGAGAAGTGAAACTAGCTTCCATAAGTCTCCCGCCCCCCGCCCCCACGGGAAAACTTTTCTTCAAGAGTAAGGATTATTTCTGCCAAACACCAACAAAGATGATGGGGGCATTCTTAGCTCTCAGTATGGAGGAAGCGTTATCCCACTACCCTGTTTTCCCCAAACTAGTCAGGACAACAAGTTGTCTCTGTGTTTGTTTGTATGTAGGCATATACCGGTACCTACAGGATACCTTCCCGAGCTCACTATAAGTTAGCACACAGCCAAAAGAGAGTATGGTGTAAAGTAGAATTTATTTATTTTTTACATCCATATTGCTCTTCACCCACTATGTGAAGAACTGCTTTTCCAGAGCTCTGCCTTTCTTTGGATGCAAGCTCAGTTGAGGTTACCAGTTCCTGTGCTTCCCACCACTGTGCCATAATCGAGAACTTTCAACTTGGACTGAGGTGTATGTGTATGAAAAATTAACTTATGCCTATTTGTAGATCGTTTTCCTGCCATAATATATATTGCAATACTGAAATGAGTGAAAGGATTATTTTGCACCCCATAACCATTAAAGGCTCAAAGTGCAAAGTCTACTCTGCCCTTTCCTAATTGCAGCAATGGTGCTAATGCCCCACTCAAGGCTAAGAAGTTAAGCCACACTGGTAGAATAACTTGAAAAACCTTCCAGTCCCACCCCCCCACCCCCAGGTAGTTGCACAGTTTTGGGACTGTGTGGTATCCATCTCCCATGTCTGCCTAGAATTTGTTCTGGTGTGGATGGCTGCAATGGCAGAGAAAAGGGTCATATCAACATAAGGGAACATTTGTTGTGTGGATTGTATTCTTTGTATTTCAAACCAGTTTTTTGTTTTGTTTTGTTTTTTAAATTATCCACCAAAGCAATTTTTCATGTCTAGTAGATGTAACTCATTTAGAACCACCTGCAATCTTCCTCAAACTAGCTTTCTTTATTAAAACCCATTTTTTTTAAAAAAACAACCACCATCAAACTGTTCTCAGTTATGTCACAAAATACTAGCCATTGCAAGACACGTCTCAACCTTCTAGAATTTCTCTCTCACCTTGTAATTTGGAAAAATTAAACTTTGTCTTTGAATGACAGGTAAGTCACTCTACCTTTTATTGGGGGACTGCCACAAATGCAGTACAAAGTTAGCACTCCGTTCCCTGGTAGTAGCAGCTGTCATATCATCAATGGGAAAGACTGTAAACAGGTTCCTCTGAATCCACACAACAACTCAATCAGCCACTAGCTACACATAATGCACCTTTCTGCAATCCTTTAGTATTACAAAGTAACATGCCAGTAATAATTCCAGGCACAGACAGCAGCAGAAACAACAAAAATAATAGTAGCCAGCACTCTCACACAAACAGAGGTCTCAAATATGGAAGTATGTACACAGCGCTACCCACTAAAGCATTAAGCTAGCAGCAAGAATACCTTTGTTAATTTTAGTAAAAGGAAAAGCTTCTCTTGCTTGAACAGGTAGTTAATCCTCTTTGATGGCTTTCAAAATAGGGATAAGCTTAACAAGCCATGTGGAGGAGTTTGCACTTTGACTTCTACTCCCTTGTACTGACCTATATTTTATAATATGCAAAGATGTAATATAGCTATAGATCAAAATGCTGCCTGGATGTATGTATTTCTCATTCACCACAAAGCCTGGGAACCGTCCAGCCCATTGAAACCATCAGGAGAAATTAAACTCTTTGCAAATGTAATCAAAGGGTTTTCATTTTGGACCCAATCCAAATGAGTGTAAAATGTGCTTAAGTTCCATTGAAATCAATTAAGCTAAGCCCTATTATTCAATTCCATTTATTCGTGTTAGGGACAGCGACAACATGCTGATATGTCATATTCCTCTGGCATGTCGCCTTTGCTACATTTAAGGTAAAGGTAAAGGGACCCATGACCATTAGGTCCAGTTGTGACTGACTCTGGGGTTGTGGCGCTAATCTCGTTTTATTGGCCGAGGGAGCCGACATACAGCTTCTGGGTCATGTGGCCCGCATGACTAAGCTGCTTCTGGCAAACCAGAGCAGCACACGGAAACGCTGTTTACCTTCCCGCCAGAGCGGTACCTATTTATCTACTTGCACTTTGACGTGCTTTCAAACTGCTAGGTTGGCAGGAGCAGGGACCGAGCAACAGGAGCTCACCCCATCGCGGGGATTCGAACCGCCGACCTTCTGATCGGCAAATCCTAGGCTCTGCGGTTTAACCCACAGCGCCACCTGCGTTTACAAGTGTACAAAAGTTGGAGGGCAAACATGATGCAGGATGCCTCCTGTACTCATGGAGGCTTCCTGCACAGTTTAGGTCCCTGCATAATACAGCACTTCTCCCTCTAACCCAGGCATAGGAAGCTCCGGCCCTCCAGATGTTTGGGACTACAATTCCCATCATCCCTAGCTAACAGGACCAGTGGTCAGGGATGATGGGAATTGTAGTCCCAAACATCTGGAGGGTCGGAGTTTTCCTATGCTTGCTCTAACCCGCTGATCTTTCCTTGTGTGTCCCTTTTATTTTGGCAAGCACAAGAACAAAAGAACGGCCCTGCTGGAACAGGTGAAGCTGAGGCCCATCTAGTCTAGGCTACTGTTCTTACAATGGCCAACAATATGCCAAACATGATGTTGGAACCAGATATTTACTGAGATAATATCTAATTTGCTCTTAAATTAAGACTAATTCATTTCACTGGGGTTTAAGTGGAACTAACTTTCTCTGAATTAAAGCCAATCCATATTTCAAGGTTATTCCACTTGAAAGTCTGTAAATTCTTCACTGATTATACACTGGCTTCCAGCTTTACATGTATCAAGTTAACTAGGCATTTACATTAAAGCCTTCTTTTGTATTCATACACTTCTTATTTATACCTTCCTACACACTAGACAAGCTTTCTGCTTTACACAACTTAATCTGTATATTTCCCCTTCTCCTCCATATGTTTGATATTCTAGTTTCATTCTCTCATTAAATGATTGCACTATTATTTGCACCCGCGAATGTTATAAATAGGAGCACTATAAAACCTTTGTGTGAGTACAGTAATTGTCACCTTTAAGGTCAAAACTACATAAGAGAAAATTAGATGCTGGATGAAAATCTGGCACTAAAGCAACATGATAAAGAAACCATATAATGCATGATTGTATCCTCCAAGGAATTAAACATATAAATGGTCATGTATTTTAAATGTGGATCTGCCAGGAAAGCTCCCAAAGGCCTTCATCAGCAGAAGGTGAAGTAACAGCAATATCTTTATAAACCTCATTGAGTTAAATGGAGCTCACTCACAAGTAAGTGTGCAGAGAATTGTGACATGTTCGAAATCTTACAATTCTGAATGGATTAAACCAGTTGGCCCTCAGGAGGAGTTGTGAAATGGAAGGGGTCAGAAGCAATCATGTTGGAATAATAATTCATTTTGGGTGCACTTTTTAGGTCTCTCATTTTCTATTGGTGCTTTTTCTCAACTTCTTCTCTTTTTCAAGTAGGTAGCCTATTCCTAGTAGGAATACCATTCACAGAGGAAAGCAAATAGGCAGGGGTAAAATGAAAAAAAAGTCACCCATAACCACATTACATCATCATGCATCTCTGACGCTTATAGAACATAGTGAAAGGAACCAAAACATATAGGTTTTAAGATTTTTTTTTAATTAAAGCTAGCTTGGTCAATTAAGGGCATGCAAGGTTTTTTTTTAGAAATATTCTATCTATATCTATCTATCTATCTATTTTTCTATCTATCTGTCTATCTATCTATCTATCTATCTATCTATCTATCTATCATTTTATAGAAATACCAGCAGGAAAGCACTACTGCATTGTTAGCTGCCACACCGCAACTATAAAAGGGTTGCATTTGAAGCAGCATACAGTGCCACCAGGTATTTCAACGAAACAAAGAAAGCACAAAAGGATCCACAAACCATAAGCATGAGTTAGTGAGGTATCATGCTTAGTGGATAGCAGAATGAGTTACCAGTAAATATTCAGCAAAACTCCCATCCTGTATCAGGTTCCAAAGAGAGGGCCAGTTTGATATAGTGACCAGAGCATTAGAAAAGAATTTGAAAGACGGGTCTTCAAATCCCCACATCCACAATCAACAAACCATCAGCTGTGGTTCATCAGAACTCTAGTATTTTGCTTTTCTTTCAACAAACAATACTTTTTGCTCAAATGGCTATTTTTGCATTGAGCTCCACACACACACACACACACACACACACACACAAATAAATGCCTAAGTGTTTCCTAGATGTGCGCAAGATGAGATTATACTGTAAGTATCCACTCAAAAGAAATCAAAATATTTTGCTAGCTAGGTGGTATCATATTCAAATTATATTTAGAGTTTTATTAAAGTATGTAACTCACTTCCAGTTACAAAAGCATCATGTTAAACAAACAAACAAACAAACGAAAACCTAATAAATTTATATACTGCCTTTCAAACATAAAATTATTCCCAAAGAAATTTACAGATGACAAAACAGTAAAACACTGTTGCACGCCACCCCAATCTCTGAGTGGTGCTTACCCAGGGTTTGTGTTTCCTTTGGGAATGAGGCACAGTAGAGACTGTGGTGCTTTTATGATATATGGTTTATTTACACATATATACAATCTGATCTTATGATTGAGGAGTTCACAGCATTAATAGCCCCAAAAGGGTCTTGCTTCTCCCATAGCCACAGCCTTGGATTCTAGCAGAAATCATATGTTGCTCTCTGACCCTGTGCTTGCTGCTTTCCCCCCAGCTTCTAGCTCACATAACAGCAAACTCAGCTCTCAGACTCAGTCTTTGTCCTTCTAACTATCTAAAAGTTGAAGGAGACGGTCCCATCCATTTGTTATCTGGCACAGAGGCCCTTTCCTTTGTTCTCTTAATGGCCGGTCACCCAGGTGGTTACCTCATCAGGAAGCTAGCCTGGCTTAATTAGATTTTAACACTTGCTAGGATTATAGGCGTCTGGCCCCGACAAACAACGCAACACAACACAACACAAATACAAGGTTCATTGGGGCAACATGAAAGATTCTTATACAAATACCCTACTTCCCCATGTGCATACTGACTTTCCTGGTTTCTATTTGCTACAGTGGTGTCCTACAGAACCTATTTCCAGGGGTTCTGTAGGACACCACTCATGAGGACCCTCTGTCTTTCAAGAACCACTTAGACCAGGTCTAAATGTTATATTTCCAAGTTTGGTGTTGGCTTGGGAACTGAGTTGTAATATTTCCAGAATCGTTTGCATGGTATGGGGTAAAACAACAAAGCAGTTGTTGACTACGATTCCATAAACAAAATACTGTACTGAAGAAGCACATCCCATGAAGCATGGTTAGCAGCGAAACACAACTCAATAGGTCCATATTTTTAGTGTCTTCCCTTTACAGTACAAATAAGGCCACACAGCTGATGCAAATTTACTTCCTCCCTTTGTGCCAAGTCCTTTGACAAACCATAGAGAAAAAGAGGGCTAGACTGCCTCCTCTAGACCAGCCATTTAGGCCACCACACAAACTGTTTGGGTGTTATGTGATACCTTTGCAGCACAGCAAAAAGCTAGCAGTGATGGGGCTTCTCCCTTGAGAAAGTGTTCCACTGCTGTGGTGCTATGACCCCAAAGGCCTTCTCCTGCACTCCCAGCTGCTGCATCTCAGACATGGAGAAGAGCCCCTGAAGTCAGTCTAAGTCAGGGCTAGCGATTGTGGTGCCCCCCAGACTACAACTCAGCCCCAGCCAGCATGACTAGTGATTAGGGATGATGGAAGCTGAGGTTAAGTAATATCTTGAGAGCATCACATTGGCCTTAGTAGACATTCAGTAGACGTTCAGTAGAAATACAGAAGATGGTCCTTAGTAGACTTTCATTTTACATTCGGCAGTACTTTCCCTTATCACTGTGAATCTTAATACATACACAATGAATACATGATCACTCCTCCCATTTCCCTCCTCTTCCAGGTTTTAGACCAGAAAGCAAAAGAAATATATATAATAGTGTCAAAGAGAGATTGCCACCTTCATGTACCATGGGAATAGCCGTAAGTACCGTAACACAAAGCAAACTAGAGAAATTGAAGCACATCTCTCTACGTTTCCTTCTCTGTTTGTCTTTTATACAACCCTCTTTCAATCTAAAGCTGAATTTATGAGATTCTGATCACTGAAAAATATGTATAAACAGCTGGCAGAGACCTTTAGCTTGGCCAAAATGGTCTCGGTACTCTCTATCTCAACAGGCTTTCAGCTTCATTATTATTCACGGCCAGGAGGAAAACATGATGGTTTGCAATCTGCAAATTTCTTTTACAGCACAAACTTAAGAAGGCCTGTGGAACTGTGATGGAAATACAGTAGCAAGAAAAAACTATAGATGCTCCGAAATCCAGGCTATATGGCAGCGCTGTCAAATTGTACAAGGCTGCCTGTATTATTGTCTTTACCACCTTTTTTGTGTCAACTGAATGAATTTTGATTTCGTTTTCCTTACCCAGTTTTCAAATAATCATTAAAAATTAAACAACATGGGAACAAGCCTTTTGTGATTACAGCCTTCCCTCTCCAGCAACAAGCTGGATCTATGAATTTACGTACTATTGTAGATGTAAATTGCAAAAATTTTACATTCAACTGTATTAAAACATCTATTCCAAAAAATGATTACCAGTTGTGAAAAGCAGACAGGCTTATCACTTGCTGTCAGTTGTTCATGTCTAGTTAAGCAATAATGTGCTAAAACTGCTCTTTTGTTTTGTGGAAGAATTTTGGCAATAGAAGAAATGAACACTCGTTTAATAAAAACTCAGGCTGCCTTTTGCTTTGATGGAGGAAGCAGCTGCCTGTTTTCATTTGCTGCAGAGCAGCAAAACCCATCAATATAATAAGCAGCTTAGATGCATCCATCCACAGCATCTGTAAGGATATAGGGCTATTCGCTCAAAACCAATCCTTGGTTTAATTTTAACAAAGATGTGTCTGACATATTTGAAAAATGCATTATAATAGCGTTTTGGTTTTGGGGTTTTTTTGTTTTGTTTTTTTGAAATACTAGCAATTTCTCTTTTCTTTTTAAATACTTTCCACAGATTTATGAGAAGGGAAGCGGGTGTATCTGAGCGATGGGAATGATAAAACACACTGCAGCAACAATCTCCAATACAGGTCTCTCTCTCTCTCTAAGAAAAATGCAAACATGGAACATTAAGAGCTTGCCTGCTACTTCATATTCTCTTTTCCTCTCTTCAAAATCGCAGGGGGGGGGGGGGAGCCTTTAAGCCTATTGATATTGTTTGTGCAACACATACAGAGGCAGACGGAAAAGCGTAAGACTATGAAACAATAACCAAAAATATGAAGGGTTACATACTTTGCTCCAGTTCTTTTGTTACGTTAGCAATTGTAATTACGTGACTCATTATCCCCAAATATATTTGCAATTTGTTTTAAACTGACAGTCTTAACTGCTAAGTTTGAGGAAAGGAAAAAGAACCACCCCATACAGCAACTTTCAGCAGCAAAACTGAAGAAAAATCACACCATGATACTCAATTCTGAAATACATACAGCTAGAGCCTGTCAATGAAACATTCATGTGTGTATTTTACTTCTTCTATTGTCCATCAACTTAAATTTCACTTGGAGTTGTTATGCTGTACATTTAAGCTATTAAAATTCTGAGATGTTATTATTTTTGTGCTGTCCAATATTCTAAGACCTTTCTAAGCTGAGCTTTTAGATGATTTGCACATTAACAGAGAAGTCAGATAATTCTTAATCCTCCTTTTTCAGATCCAATAATGGATAAGGAAGCATCTTAGCATGATCAACTAGCAATCTGCCTAGCTAGAGTGGTAGTATACCTGAATTTAGGATTAGCCATTGGTTTTCCCCCCATAATATCTGATTTAAATGAGCACTCATTTTGAGAAGTGAAGTGGGAATGTTTTCTATGATAGCTAAAGTGATAGCTGTTTCCATTTAAACATGCAGTCATGAATTCTAGGTATGCTTGTTCACATTCTGTGCAGAGAATTCTGCAGAGTAACAAGAATGTCTTAAAGCGTTCAGGTAAATAACTACTTTCCTTACCAACAATCTTAATAGCTGATGAATACAGTTCCAATTATTTAAATCCTGGTCAAAACAGACACCTAACTTTTCAAATTTACTGGCTTTTCCCTTTGCACCTTCATTTTTGGAGGCAATAAATGGTAAATAATACTCCCTTTTGTGCACATAGGGTTGTGTTCTAATCGCATCCCCCCCAAGTGTAAGTCAAATATTATTTCCGACTAACTATGATCTAGCAACAGGGATACATGCACAGAAATAGGCTTTATTTTAACAAATTTATAATCCACTGTTAGGGAGCTCTTCACAAAGTAGCTTACACATTCATAAAAAGTGCATTGATCTGTTGCAATGGGGGTTTCAGCAGCCTGCTCTATGTTTGGGACTTGGATCAAGCAACCTGGCTGCATACCAGGTACAGCCATCAGGCACAGGTTGGTAAATTATCATTGTGAAGGACAGAGTGAAGCCTCTTGAGTAAGATGGGAGCACCCTAGATGCTCTCTTCTCATGCCAAATGACACTTATATTCTCCTGCCCCATAAAGTCTGTTAGTATCGTTAGCGCAGTAATCATACAGCCTTCTCCTATGCTCTCTTTCTAGACTGTGGCTGAAGTCCATATAGAGCAATAGATGAGATCTCAATCCTTGGTAAGTATGTCCTATGTGGAAAAGGAAACACAGTCCTCTTGCTCGGCATAGCAGCCATGGAGCTAGCCAACTTTACTCATGTTGGTTGACTCAGTGGCTCTAAGGGGCGAGGGGCTCTAAGTCTTGAGTATTTGGAGATGAGCAGTTCTAGTTTGCTGAGCTTCACATATGCCTCTTCTCACCCCTAAATCTCTGCTCTGTATACAAATTGGTGTTGGAATAATAATAATAATAAAAACACCCTTCTATAGGACCCCTCTAAAGTAGCAAATTGGATATCTTCCTAAGGTCACCTTAGTTGGTCATTTACACATCTGAATATAAGTGTGTGTGTGTGTTCCAGTCATGACAAAGAGGTAGAATTTATTGATGCCTTAAACAATTGTGTCCTAGAACACTAAGCAACCCTAGACTTAAGTGGTGTCCTGGTGCGAGATGTAAGTGTGTTGAACCATTGGCTAACAAGGGAGTCAAAGGTGTGCTAAAGAAGATTATGGAGATTTCAGAGAAGCTGAATGAATGCTTTGCTTCTGTTCTCACAACGGAAGGTCTACCTCTCTTTTAAATCGGAACCAGTGAAGGTGGTGAATGTCCTGTGTGAGTGC